ACCTAGTTAGATATTTGTAATCAAAAAACATTTGTGCAGAAAGCGGCACTTAGGGCTGCCTGTCCTGTATCCTGCGGTTGGACAGGAAAAGAACTAAAAATGTCACCCTTCTGACATTCTAAGGCAGCTGGACTGGCAGCCAAGGAAGGGAGAGCGGAGGAGGTGGTGCGGAGAGGGCGGGGACGCCCATGAGGGCACTCTCCCCGGAGCAGGCAGGAGTGGGGACAGAGGGAGCACTTGTGACCGGGGCAGTGAAAATAAACGATTGGCTCTTCTCAATCACTTGCACCAACTAACCGTTTGTATTTTCTTTACTGACCTTTCCCTCTTGGGATATCCGGTCTGGTGGGCTGGGAGGCCAAAGCGTCCCTGTCTCCCCTTTTCCCGTGCCTCGTGCTGTTTGGCTGAGGCTTGGAAGACCACCCGTCGGGCGGCTCCGTTCTGGAGGCTTCCCAGGCCAAGGAGGCACGGGGACCGTTCGTGATTGCAGGGCAGAATAGCCGGCACTCTCCATGTACCCGTTAATGAGTTTCCATAGACTCCTGGGGGAGAAGGGCATCGAAGCCCTCAGCCTGAAGATTGTGACTTGCCAGTCTCTACTCTGTCTTCCAAACTTGAGACAGGCGGGAAGTCCCTGAAATCATCTCTGTTAGAGCATCTGTCCTCTTATAGTGCGAGAGAAGGAGCGTTTCTCAGGGTTTCAGCTCACACAGAAACGAAGCAGGATTCTTTTCACTGCAGCAGGAGATGTATATAGGTGAATCCTGTGGTGTGGGCTACCAGGCCCAGGTGCTGAGAATAGCAACTATTTTATACAGTGTGGAGGGCATGAGCCCTACTGGTTTTTTTGATACACAGGTAGAGAGTGAATAGGAAAGGGGAGGGAGGGGGGCGGGGGGCGGGGTGGGGGGGGCGGGAGGCAGCTCGGAGTGGGGCTGCTGAACTTGGGGAAGAGCGAGAATGTGAGTGCGTGTAATGTGTGCATGAGAGGGAGCGCCCCCTCCCAGCATCTTGAAACAGGATTTGTCTGGGGGTGCTGTCCCTGCATGTCCCCACAGAGGCCTCTCGCCGAGAGACTTCTATTGGGATAGTGTTTGTTTGTAACTTTACCAACCCCCTCCCAGTTCTTGATGAACAGCTTCAGGTTGCTGGGCTCGAGAATATGGGTGGGACATGAGAATGCTCTTTCGACATTCAGCTTCAGTTTTCATTCATCTTCCTGCTCAGCATTCTGTCAGCCTAGAACTTACTCTGCACACACCATGTATTGCAGCACTTGCTAGTGAGGGAAGACCCAGGGTAGCGTTGTGTTACTTACCAGACGATGTGTCCATTTCCTCCCCTGGGCAGTTCTCTGCCGAAAATTCTGTGCTGAGATTTGACCTTTCCCTCCCTCCACTGATACCTCCATGCAGCCCTTCCTTCCCTAGGCAGGCAGGCCCACATCTGGTCCTCTGGTCACCCCCTGCCCGATACACCCTTCTGCCCTACAAGTACCTCTGACCCTGAGGCTGGAAGAGGGGTGCTGGCGCGAAGGAAGTTTGCTTGCTCCTAACAATGTCCTTTCTCTTGGCGCCTGCTTCCTTGTGGTGCCATCATGGATCTGTGTGAGGCAGTGAGTGAAGTGATTGCATGAACCTTTCTGTAACCCGCTCACTTTTTATCGTTAAGGGAGTTTGAGAGAGCTTTGCTCGTAGTGTCAAGGCAAGGAGGCAAAAACTGGAGCCCAAAGAAATTCCCTTAGGGCGAGATTATGTCACAACAGTAAGTTGAATTTTGAGGCAGAAGTTGCCATCCCTTTTCAAATGTTCAGTCCTCCAGCGAATAGTATCTTTTTAGAGTCACATGGTTTTGGGGTGCTAGGCCCTCAGGGCCGGGGTGGGGGGCAAAGAGCTTAAGCCAATTGGGGGGGTTGGGGGAGTCAGGGGAAGGTACTTGCTGTTAATTTTTGACACCAGAAAGTCATCTTTAAAAAAAAAAACAAAAACGCTGTTTTTCTGATGGATGGAGAGTGAAACTGCCACATCCTTGTTGGTTTAGCCCAAGAGATCCCTTGCAGCAACTGTAGATGTCTGGGTTTTGTTTCTGTCTTTTTATTGTGAAAAAAAAAAAAAAAAAAAATGTTACGGGGAAAATGTGGATTTACCAAGAGGGATCCCTAGCCTTGTTTTCCTTAGAAGACTTGTTTAGTGTTTTATCAGACGTCTTTTGTAGTTGTTGTAGATGGAAATGCTTGTGAGAAAAACAAACACCACATGGAGCCTGTAAATGTTTTTGCACAACCTGTAAAGCATTCTTGGAAGTGGCCAGTAAAAAAGGGTTTTACCGTTTAAAAAAAAAAAAATGTAACTGTGTCATTGTTTACATCTGTAACTTTTTCCTCCCCTGTTCTCATTACATCCTGGCAAAAATGTAGGCACCGTAGCTTCCAGTTTTAGAATAAATAACCATTTGGATTGAATTCACCCTATCTCCTGTGGCTGCACTGACTGGGGTGGAGTGTGTCATGGGGGGGATGGAGTGACCGATTTTTGGTGCTGCTTCCTCAAGTTGTACTGGGTCCAACCAAGGCTGGCTTTCCCCTTGCGTGGCTCTCACTCCCTTCTGATTCTACTATTCACTTGATGATTGTTAGCCTCCTTAGTGCCTGCTTCTGAGCGCCTGGGCCACTGGAGTAGAAGAAAATACATGATAAATCATGATCCATTTGGCCTGTACTAAAACCACTCAAATGCTTAAGGTTCAAGGTAAAGCCGGTTCCGTTTGGGAGCCAAGTAAGTTTATTAATGATTAGTTGTCACTTAGGAGGAAAAGCCTTCCTATACCAAGGAAGATGTTAGATAGGGCTTATTTTGGGGAATAAGAGTGTCACTTGAATTAACAAAAGCACCACTGCATTACTAGCACTAACTGATCCTAATTGTAATTCTAATACATGTTCAAGGACTCATTAAGGCTGAGATGCCTACAGGCTCACAACCCCAGTTTGGAAATGGTTGTGCTGTAACAGATATAGGTCCTGCTCTAACTCCTCCCTCTGTACGAGACAGATGTTCAGACCCCAGGGACCTACAACTGTGTATATATAAAGGCTATCCTTGATTTCAGTGTTTGCCCATACTCTGGGATATTTAAAGTTACTCAGTGTTAGAGCTAATTAATAAGTTTTAGTGGTTAATTATAGTTAACGTCTGGTCTCTGGTAACCTCTTAAACCCCCTTTTTCCCCAGCTAGGGCTACAGCCATCACCCCCAATCTGAGGAGTATGAAAGTTGTGCAGAAAAATTAAGCAGAGGCTTAAAACAACACACACACAACTCCTATCAAGACTACCTTTAGTGAGCACTTCTGGCTTTTTACCAAGTCTGAACTTACGTGGAAATTTTCACTTACTCTTCTGGAGTTTGCCCAACACTTTGATGCAGTAGAAAAAGAGCAAGGTTCTTAGTGACTGCTCTGCATTGCTTGCTACTTAAGCGTATATAGTACAATCATTCATTAAATATTTGAGTGCCAGCTATGTGCCAGACTCTTTCAGGATGCAGGGATTAAAATAGACTTGATCCTTTCAGGAGTTTTCATGAAACACCCAAGAAGAAACTAAAGCGGACTCCTGAACAGAATGAGGGTAGGGTCCCCACTGTAGGATGAGGTAATGAATTAGATTACCTCCAGGGCCTGTTAGGGCTCAGAAATTCAGCAGCAGCTGGAAAGCTGCTGTTCCTGAAGGTGCCCCAAGTTCATCGGGTGCCCCTGGACCTGTGGATACATCCGTAGGAGACGAAGTTCGGTTCCTGGTAGAATGCCCTTTATTCCCTTGGTTTCCTCTCTGCATTCCTGTATGCTTACTGTCTTACTGCGTGAAGGAAGTGGGGGTGTGGGGAAGCTGGGGGTGATGGCTATCCCTAAAACAGGTCACCCTTCTGTTACTTCAGGGTGGCTCCTCCCTTCAGCACTCCCCCCACCCCCGGAAAGTGTATTCCAGCAAGAAACATGACCTAGGCTTCCTACGGTTAGGATGTATTCCTGAATTTGGGGGATGTTGATAGTGCATAAGAAGCAGACACCCTCGGACTGTTACCTTACCTGCCTTGGCCCTGGTCCCACCTCCATATGTTCGCCCTTGGAAGGAAAAGGCTTTTTTCTAGAAGAGCATTCTGGGCTTCTAAACCTCCGCCAAGTTTGAATCTGGGAGGCGCTCGTGAGACCTTAAGCCTTAGTTTTGGCATCTGGCCAGACAGCATGCTGGGACCACTACGAAGGCTGGTAGGCACACGAGGGGCGGGGACGTTGTTTCTAGCGGATGTGACCGAATGGGTCTGAGAGGGAAAGGGGAACATAGTAAGCTCTACCAGGAAGCCCAAACTGAAACAGTTTCGGGCTTATCCAGCTCCTAGGGACACCAGGAGGCAACCAAGGAAGGGCGCCTGAGAGGAACGGCGCCGGGCATTGACCTCACACTTCTGTTTACACTCCAAAGACATCCTCTGCTTGGCAAGCAGTAGAAACGAGATTCCCTCGCAAGATCCACGCTCCCAGCGCCTGCTACGCTGTGCTTGCCGGGGTCCCCTTGTCCCACGATCTTTGCTTATAGTCACCCGTGTGCCTTCACCTGGATTGGGGACACGTCGACTTCGAGACTCCGGGGTGGGTAGGAATGGGCATCGAGTTGACGAGGGCAGGGGCAGCCATTTTGAGACCAGATGAACACAGAAGGGACCATATTGAGAACTCTAGATGCCTGGGGCCGCCATTTTAAGTATGGGGATAGCTCGGAAGCCCTGTACGGTGAAACCCAGTGACGTGGGGCCGCCATATTGGCGCGGATCCCATGGCGGTGGCCATCTTGGAAAGGGGCCCACTGTGGGCGCGGCCATCTTAGAAGCAAAACCTGCCCCTTCGCAGGAACTGGGGCCGAGCTCCTCCCCTCCGTTACCGAGTTCCTGCTGTCTGCCACTGCCCTCAAGATCCCTTCCCAAGAGCCGCCCTGTTCGGTCTGTTTTCATTTTCACTTGCGTTCAGTGCTTTCGCGCGCGCGCGGGGGTGTGAATGCTTTCCGTGGCCCCCTGAGTGTCTGGTGTAACTAAATTCTTCCACTCGAGACGCTCTCTTGCGCCCGCCATCCCCCCCAATCCAGGCCGTCCCCGATCCTAGACAGTGTCTAAACTGATTTGACTAACCCTATTCCTTGGGTATGGCAAGCCTTTCACCTGCCGTACACAGTCCCAGATCTACAGATTGATGATCCTCTCCCCAAGAACGCTAACACAAGAGCTGTCCTCTGAGACTCTGGATGACTTTATTCTTCAAATGGCTTTACCCTTCTGATAGCTCCAGGTGAGACTGAGAGCAAGCACCCGGCCCATCCCTCTCTCCATTGTCTGAGCGGGTCACAGAGAGAAGCCGGCAGGACGCTGGCAGTCGGACGGCCCTTCTGGGGACGGAGCTAAGGGGGGCTCCCCTAGTCAGGGGGTACTTGGGGTCGGCCGAAGTGGGCGAGGAAATGGGGTGACGGAGAGCCTTGTGCTTCAGATAACCTCACAGGGTTGGACAAGGGCTAGGGATGGGATGCAGGGACCCTCAGGGGCTCACGACAGTTACTGACCTAAGGAAGGGCCTAGGAGGAGGAAAGGTGAAGAGCTTGTAGGGAGGGACGGGCGACTCAGAGGAGGGCACAGAAGAACTTCTTCTCCCGGAAGGGGTTCTCCGAAGTGGGCACAGGGGTGATGAGGGGATCCTCGCAGGCGTGGGCATCACAGTAAGTCATCAAGTCTGCTGCTGCCTTGGACACCTGGGACACAGCCAGGAGGGGAATGGTTAGCCAGATCCCCTGAGAGGGGCTGCAGCCTCCCTCCCCAAATGGGTTATCTTTTGCCATCTCTAGGGCTCCTTAAGACAGTATTCTCTTCCCTCATCCCTGACAGCGGCCAGGGGATGGCTGCCCTTACAGAACCGGAGACTCCTCCCCTGATGGCAGGGAGTCAAGGAAAGAAAACATCTCTTAACCTGAGGTTTGGGGACCTACAGCACAAGTGGGCCAACTAATAGGATCCAGGGTCCACCCACCTTTATCCGGCACAAGCTGGCTTCAATCTTAAGCTGTTCCACCATCTTGCGGGCTTGCCCAATACTCATAGTGCTGTTCACAGGGGTCTCCCCTTTCATTCTGGAGAAAAGAGTGGGATAGCTCGGAGCATAATGGAGGTGGGTGGGTGCTGCCTAATCTTATCTGAAGACCACCCCCCCTCCATGTTCATTTTTCATCTGTCTTTACAAGGCTGGGGTCATGTGGCCCAGTATTTTGTTTCTCGTATCTCCATCCTCCAGGGGCCTTTCCCATCCCTGTCTTCCCAGGCTAAGGAAATGGAGAAGGTGGAATGAGATACCCCCCCAAATTCCCACACGACCTGGGCCACAGATCATTAAACATACCAACGATTTAAGGCTTTTTGGCTCTTCCAGCCATGTGTTCCCAGCTCTGGAAGCCTCAACCAGAAAGAGCCCCGCCCTGTTGAGGAGGGCACATAACCCCCACCTGCCCCCTTGAGCCCCAACGGGAGAAAAGCAGGATGCTCCCTACTCACCTGAAGCCACAGGCAGTGTGGCAGCCCTGGGGAGTAGTCAGTGGGGTGCACAAAACCTGCCTGAGATGGGTGCCCCACCTTGCAGGGAGTTGCCGCTGAAAGTATCTGCTGCAGCAGCCGAAGCAGCTGACACAAAGAAGGCCACTGGGGAGGGTCAGGGCAGAGGTCCGTCGAGGGCTGGACCCAGTTCCTGAAGCTCAAGCACTGCCCAGACGCTGGTACCTGAAGGATGAAGGATGCTAGAAGGAGCTGCTCGGATACTGGAGCATACCAACTGCCCGGCCAATGGGGGAGCCTGGCTGCTGACTGCAGCCCCTACGCACACCCCCACTGTTAACGGTCTCTCTTAGCTGCCCTTCCCCCATTGCAGGCATTCTGAGTCTGGGCTACGAAGGAGCTGGAAGGAGCTGAGGCCCAGGCCGACTCTCCCCCCCCCCCCCCGCCTTTAAATGGGGTGGTCTGGACCTGTGACATCCCCTGCAGTGGAGTCAGTACTGGCTGCGGGGGACCCTGCTCATTTGAAAATCTGACATCAGCTGGGCAGTCGCCCTCCCCTCCTCCCTCCTCCCTCGGCTCTGACATAGCATGTAGTACCTGAATCTTCTTGTCTTTCCCAGGGACCCTCCATTCCCTATACCCAGGAAAATGTGATGAGCTACAGGTAACCAGCTTCTAGATCACCAACCAGTTCATATTCTAGCCACAAGTGATTCGAATGGAAGATCCAGGGGCGGCAAGGGACGTCAGGAAGATGCCTAAAGAACAAGAAGCTGGGGGGAAAGAGGTGTGCAGATACCAGATCAAAGAATCGGACAAAGAAGAGGTAGGCGGAATTGTGGGGAGAGTCATTGGGTGTTTATTGAAACAGATGGGCTTCCTGGGTGGGTTTTGGGTGGGGGGAATTGGTTTGATAGAATACTTCCCAGACCTGCAGAGCTGTGCTTGGTGCTGTGTGGAATGCAAAGACGTACACTGACCTCACCCTCTGAGGGATGTTATTCGGGGTGAAGAGTCATGTACAAAATAGAAGGTACCGTCTGCCAAGATCTAGTCTAGATTGGTGCGCTGTGGGGACTCTGAGGGAGTCTAGTTAGGGTCAGAGGAGGTCGATCCCAAATGCTGGAGACAAAACACGGAGCTGAAATACTATCACAGCCGTGAATAGGGGCCGGCCGGCAGTGCCCTCCGCCTAGGACGCCTACAGGTGCAAGGAGCTGTGGGCGACAAAAATCAGCGCCAGCTGGATAACCGCCTCTTTCCCCCTTTGCGGGGTTTAAATGGCCGGTGGTGAAGGTGGGCGGAGGGCCGGCCTGAGGGGGGGATGCTGCTGACTCATAGCATGCCGTGGGGGCAAATCTTGAGGCCTGAAGGAAGGCGCTTGTCCTCTTTGGTTTGGGTAACCGACCGCAGGGAGAGACTGTGCGCGGAGCGCGAGGTGGGAAACCCGCCGCCCGGCAGACCCCGCCCCTTGCGCCGGGCTCCTCCCCTGAGTGAGGTCCCGCCTCCCGGGGCCGCAAAGGCGGCCGGCGGGAGGGGGCGGGGCTGCCACGGGAGGCGGAAGTCTCTTGTCGCCGTTGCCCCGGCAGCCCGCGAGCTGGTGAGTCTGCAGAGCTACGGCGGCGGACGGGCTGGTTTCCCTGGGGGCGCGGTGAGGTGGGGGCTCCGGGCGCCGCGCCCACCGCCAGCCGGAAGGGGTGCTGGCGGGGAGCGGCCGTTGGCTGCAGGACTCCCGGCCCGGCGTGGAGGGCGGCCCTGTCCGGGAGCGAGCGCGGTTGTGCGCTCGGGAGAGGAGAAACTCGGGAGACAGTTCTGACGGCACTTAGGCAGCTGGCTCTCAGTGCGGCTGTACGACCTTAGGCAAGTCGCGCAGTCTCTCCGTGCAGCCACCTCGCAGTGTGGACAACGTGTCATCACGTGTGTAACAGCCTTTTAAGGTGCTCGTTTTATGTATATTATGTATTGCTATGGATGAGTGTCAAGGTAGCCTGTCCCAGAATCAGGTGTCCAGAGGACAAATTCAGCGAAGTTGTTCTGGCACTGGGGGCGAAGAAAGCACAGCGAAAGAAAGGGAAGGGATAATTGGTTGGGAAGCGTAGCCATTTGGAGAAAAGCCATATGAAACAAAGTCTATGCTGTGTCCAGCTATCTCTGGTTCCTCAAAGCCAGTCCAGTAAACTTGTCCTTGTTGTCTCCACCATCCCTGGGGAAAGAGCCATTTTTCCCCCCTCTCTGTCTTTTTCCAGGAACCACCAGCTTCTTCATCCCATGGCCAGGGGTGGCGTCCAAGTGACCGAGCAGCTAAGAACTCAAAGCCTGAACCTGGGGCCAGACACTCGGCACTCCCTGCCATGGTCAATGACCCACCAGTACCCGCCTTGCTGTGGGCCCAGGAGGTGGGCCACGTCTTGGCGGGTCGTGCCCGCAAGCTGCTGCTGCAGTTTGGGGTGCTCTTCTGTACCATCCTTCTCCTGCTCTGGGTGTCTGTCTTCCTCTACGGCTCTTTCTACTATTCCTACATGCCGACAGTCAGCCACCTCAGCCCTGTGCATTTCTACTACAGGTGAGAGGGGTCTTCTCCTGAAGTGGAGTCATCCTTTGAGAGAATTGCTGTTAGGGCCCTTAGAGCTTATTCAGTTCAACCCCCTCATTTACAGAGGAGAACATTGGAACCCAGTGTGTTTATATGATTTCTTACCTTCCACAGCCCAAGGCTGAGGGAGCTCTGGGTTGGTAGCGCTCCGAGGTCCTAGCTCTACCTCTGGTTACTGAAATCTTTGATTAAAAAGAAGGAAAAAAAAAAATCCCTCTTTTAGGCTGTCACTCTGTGGGTCTGTTCTGTTTGGGTTGGATCAGACCTCTCTCAGGGCCGCTCTAGACCTCTTAGCCAACCGCATCCCTCGAGTCATCTCAGAACTAAGCTAGCCTTCAGTAAAGAACGTATTAGGAAAGCAACAAGTTGCCTTCCTCCCACTCCTGACAATCCTGCACAGTAGAGATTATGCAAACACAAAGTGACTAGGTACCTAAAGTCCCAGAGTCCTGCTTCTTGCCTGGGACTTCAGTTCCTTCTGATTTTACGGGCCTTAACCAAATTCTCTCCCCTTCTCTTAACATGGGCCATAGGACTAATCTAGAGATGCTGACAAGGACATTGTTATCAATGGTCCAAAGTCATTTTCCCCCTCTCCCGTCTTGAGTCCCTGATCATGAACTGTAGTTTCTAACTCAGAGCTGCTTAAACTTTTAGGAGGCATGGATCTCATGAAAGCTATGGCCCTTTCTGCTATAAAAACATGTATGCAAGGGAGTATCTGTCTGGCTCAGTCGGGAGGGCATGTGACCCTTGATCTCAGGGTCATAAATTCAAGCCTCATGTTGGGTGTAGGACTTACTTAAAGCTCATACAGACATCTGTATGTGTGTGTGTGTATATATATATATATACATATATATATATATGCATACACATATGTGTATATGTGTGTATACATATGTATATATACATACGCACACCCATGTATAATTTTGCTTACAAGTTGGAGAGGAGTGTCAGCCTCTTTAAGACCATCTGTGGATTCCTTGGGAGGACTTTCCTCAAACTAGGCCCCAGACCAGAACTACTAAATCAGACTCTGGGGCTAGGACCCAGGAATCCGCATTTCTATGAAGCTCTCCAAATGAGTCTTGAGAAACATTTGAGTCTGAAACTATTCAACGAAGTGTCCATGGAGTCCTGCTTAAGAATTTCCACTCTAATGAGAGGAGATGAGCTGAGGTGGCAGGAAGAGAATGAAAGAATCATTCAGGTGTCTTGAATCTCCTGGCTGCATTTCTTCTCCATCTCTCTCTGACAGAGAGAAGGGTGCCTGTTCTGGAAGAAGGGATGGGGGACAAGAGGGAGCCCTAGGGGCCCAAGGAAGTGTACAGACAGGTAAGGCAGACCCTCTTAACTTAGCAGAGTATCATCCCCATTCTCATCTAGGACTGACTGTGATTCCTCCACCTCCTTACTCTGCTCCTTCCCTGTTGCCAATGTCTCGCTGGCTAAGGGTGGACGTGACCGGGTGAGTATGGGAGCCGACGAGAGGTTTCATTAGAGCTCTGAAGACTTGAAATCGGAGGGCTTGAGAAAGACCTGGTGAGCAGGGATTGAGTAATGGAGACTAAGAGGAAGGCTCTCAAGGAAAAGGAGGTTAAAGAAAAAGTAAAATCTGAAGCGTGTGGATTTTCCTGCTGCAGATGTTAGCGATGCTCTCTCAGATTATTTCAGACAAGCTGTAGCCATTAGAGGTGTCTTAGACCCCAGTGAATGTGAATCAACCAATCAGCTATGTCACTGGACTGGGATGGAAACCTCCCAAGCGTTTTGAAAGCCTGTATGTAAGATTGTGAAACTGCTGACAAATATGTGTAACCTGCCATTACAAAGGGTACTGTGCCAGGAGATGGGCCGCATGCCAGTGTGACTTCAACAAACCCAGAATCCCTGGGAAATGCAGAATGGGGGTGCACCTGTTTATATTAGGCAAGCTGGTGGAGGCTCTGGAAAGGGTAGGATCCCTGAACACTTCAAAAGGACCTTTGGAGCATCAACATTGTCTTTGATGACCAGAGTGTTTTGAGTCGTTAGCAACATAATTAGCAATAATCAGTGGTCGAACTTACTAAGAACTTTATTTAATGTTTATTTATTTTGAGAGAGCAAGCCAGGGAGGGACAGAAAGGGAAGGAGGGAGGGAGGGAGGAGGAGGAGAGAGAAAATATATGAATCCGGAGAGAGAGAGAGAGAGAGAGAGAGAGAGAGAGAGAGAGAGAGAGAGAGAGAGAGAATATGAATATGAATCCCAAGCAGGCTCCACGCTCAGCACGGAGCCCAACCCAGGGCTCAATCTCATGAACCGTGAAATCATGACCTGAGCCAAAATCAAGAATCAACTGCGTGCCTAATTGACTGAGCCACCCAGGTGCCCCTGGAAAGTGTCTTTTAAAAGTGGTTCTTGAGAGGACACTGACTTACACAGGATAGAAATAAATGGTCACTCTGAAGGGAGGAGTGTAAGCATTAGCATCTGGGGTCCCCTGGGATTGGTGTTTAGCCTGGACTTGTTTGACAATACAGTAACCTGGGAGATTGCGTATCCTTTCCCTCCTTCCAGTCAACCCCCAGGGAGCCATACACTATCAAGAACACTTACCTTGGGTCCCAGGTGAGTGGGTCCCAAATGGAAGATTTCAAAGTAGTGGGGTAGAATGTTGGATGTTGCAAGGCAGAGATTTCTCATTTTAATCCTGCCGGGAAAGGAGTTTGGAGATCATGACAGAGTCGTCTGTGAAGGCATTGATTCAGTGTGCTTTTGTGGCTCAAAATAATAATAAACGGAATACACCGAGAAGGAATTAGAAACAAAGCCACAGAACATCTGCACCTGAAATGGTGCATACAGTTGTGTGGCTGTGCATTGTGGAGATCCACATGGTGGCTCAGAGAGCCTAAAACAATTGTGTGTGAGGCTGCTGGATGAGGAAGGAAGGGAAAGATGAAGGGTGAGGGGATGTCAATATCAGGGACTCCAATCAGGGTAGTCCCTGGTAATTAAAGCGGGTTGATCATTTCATTCATTATATAAAGTAGCACAGTGTACGATACAGATTCTGCATTTCAGAAGAAGTTGTGAAGGATTGGAGGGAGAGGCTCAAAGCAGACCTTTTAAGGAAGGGTGAATGTTGGGTGGGAAAGGAGGAACAGGAGGGGAATCTGCCCATCAAGCAGACAGATGTGAAGAAAGGTGTGGAGTCATCCTCAAGATTCTGACATTCAATTCCATGGATCGATCCCATTGGAGGAGATGATGTTTATTTAGACGGAATTACTAGTTTAAAAACATCTATATGGGACTCCTGGGTGGCTCAGTCAGTTAGGCGTCTGACTTCAGCTTGGGTCTGATCTCACCGTTTGTGAGTTCAGGCCCCACGTCGGGCTCTGTGCTGACAGCTCAGAGCCTGGAGCCTGCTTCGGGTTCTATGTCTCCCTCTCTCTCTGACCCTCCCCCATTCACACTCTGTGTGTCTCTTTCTCTCAAAAATAAGTAAGCTTTAAAAAAATAATAAAAAATAAAAACATATATGAAACAGCTTTATTGAGCTATAACTCACATACTGTGCAGTTCACCCATTTAAAATCTATAGTTCTATCGTTTCTAGTGTATGCAGACTTTAAGCAACCAGCACAATTTTAGAGCATTTTAATCACCCCAAAAAGAAACTCCTACCCATAAGCTAGGAGTCACTCTATTTCCCTCCAACCCACCCTGAGAACTACGTACTATAATGTTGCAAAGAATTCAGTGAAGCAACTGGCTTCATCAGGCCTCTTCTGGGGGCTAGGAATGTCATGGAATCCATTTTTTTTTTTTTTTCCAACAGATAGTACTTCATTCTGAAAAGCAGAATCTGTATAAAAACGGACTTTGAGAAGTAGTTTTCCACGTTTTACCTTAGTGATAGTGCTCAACACACCCTCAATCATATCTGGATTTTGGAGGTGATTCACTATGGGTTGGGTTTTGGTTTTGGTTTTTTTTTAAATTCATTCCCTTTGGGGGTCCCTGGATGGCTCAGTCGGTTAAGTGTGTGACTTCGGCTCAGGTCATGGTCTCACGGTTTGTGAGTTCAAGCCCCACATCAGGCTGTCTGCTGTCAGTACAGAGCCTGCTTCAGATCCTCTGTCTCTCTTTCTGCCCCTCCCCCGTGCGCTCTCTCTCTCAAAAAAAAAAAAAAAAAAAAAATCTGTTCCCTTAAATACAGAAACTTTACTCTTGTCCCTGTGATTCTTGTATATGCACCCTGAGGTCATGCTACAGATGAGAGCTGAATAAAGGGTTAAAAGAGTACAGTAATGGTCAGGAAAAACTAGGGTACGTTTGGTGGCAAATCTTTAGCTTTTTGAGGTTAATCCCAATGAAGACGCCTTCCCACTGTGAGTCTCAGGGTTCCACCAAAAGAAGCCAGGTAAGGACCCAGAGTGACACAAAGATGATCTGGAGTGACAGAGACTGAGAGGTGGCTCGGGAGTTGGTGCTTGGTTAACTAATAATATAAGTGAAGGCGGGCTGGGCCCAGGGGGATGGCCTCACGGGGACAGAGGCCTGAGTCACAGATGGCCCAGTTGGCAAGAGGATGGTTCACTTTTGGAAAAGAAATGTGTGACGCAGCCTTTCTCAGAACAGAGCAGAGAGCGGTTTAGCCAAAGCAGAAGATGCCGAAGCTCTCCGGAGTAGGAGGGACCTGGCCACCACAAGGGGGCAGCACCTTCCTGGGATGAGAGCCCTGAGAGGCCTGCTCTGCTCTGCTCTGCTAACCAGGGAGATTGTGGCCCTATTCGGAGGGGTGGGGGGAGGTGGAACAGAGACCGTACAATTAAAAACAAATTTTTTTGAAGAGAGATGGGGGCTACCTTGGGCAGGTGCTGATGTATGGACAGCCGTACCGCGTCACCTTAGAGCTTGAGCTGCCAGAGTCCCCTGTGAATCAAGACTTGGGCATGTTCTTAGTCACCATTTCATGCTACACCAGAGGTGGCCGAATCATCTCCACTTCTTCACGCTCCGTAAGTGTCCGTGGCCTATCTGGGAGGGTGTGGCGATGACAACGGATGGCAGAATATCTGGGTAGGGTTCCAGGAGGAAACATCCTAGCTCTGGAGGTCACAGACACATCAGGATCGGGATGAGGAGTCAGTTTACCAAGCCAGACAGACACCCCAGGTATCTGATGAGCACGTCCAGCTTTGGGGCAAAGCCTGAAGAGGGGAGCCAAAATGGGCTTCTTTAGAGCCCGGCGGATGTCTGCTGGCATTCTGTCTCAGAAACCTACTAGCTGAGAGACTACTTCTTTAACTCCTTGGTTACAAAGCCTTATTAACTGGGTATGAAAGTAATGGTCCCATAGCGAGACCAGTTAGGGTCCGCTAAAGAAATGTACCATGCTTGTTAGCACATGGTGGGCGTGCAATAAATATTAGACTCCATTCTTTTTTTTTTTTTTTTTTTTAATGTTTAGTTTTGAGAGAGAGAGAGAGAGCAAGCGGGGGAGGGGCAGAGAGAAAGGGAGACACAGACTCCGAAGCAGGCTCCAGGCTCTGAGCTGGCAGCACAGAGCCTGACGCAGGGCTCAAACTCACGAACCGTGAGATCATGACCTGAGCTGAAGTTGGCTGCTTAACCGACTGAGCCACCCAGGCCCCAAGACTCCATTCTTACATGAATTGTCAACAGAGCCACGTGATGAAGCGTATCTCTGAATGTCTACACGGGGAAAAATGCTTCAGCTGGAGCGCTGGAACTTAGGGTCTATTCTGGATCGTAGAACTGCGTGGGGGAAAGATCAGAGACCGTGTTGGGCTTAACCCATGAAGTTCTTAGAAGAGGGACCTTTGTTGCGCTGGAATGGAGACGTGGATTGAGGAGAGGAGGGATGTTACTCAAGCAGTTGGAATGATTGGGCCAAGGCTTGTTTGGGGGGTGGGGGCATGGTAGGAAGTGAAAATGAGGGAGCAGGGGACCCGAGGAAGGTTGAGGGGTTGGTAGGGCGGTGGCAGTCTGGGGGTACCCATCCCCAACCTCTCCCCTCCTCGCCCTGGCTCCGGCAGGTGATGTTGCATTACCGCTCAAACCTGCTCCAGATGCTTGACACACTGGTCTTCTCTAGCCTCCTGCTGTTTGGCTTTGCAGAGCAGAAGCAGCTCCTGGAGGTGGAGCTCTACCCCGAATACAGAGAGAACTCGGTAAGGGGGGCGAAGGAAGACTAGAGACGGCTCTCCCCAGGAGCTCAGAGTTCTACCTGAGGAGCCTCTGGGCTCGGTCAGCAGGGGCGGCCACAGACGCTGCAAGTGGGGCTCAGATGGGGCTGGGAAGAGTGACAGCAGCAGGACCCTGGCCTGACGCTCGCTGCCCCGCCCTCCGCAGTATGTGCCGACCACCGGCGCGATCATCGAGATCCACAGCAAGCGCGTCCAGATGTACGGAGCCTACCTCCGCATCCACGCCCACTTCACCGGGCTCAGGTGAGGAGCCGCTCGAGTGGGGCCTCCGCAGCTCCCCTGGGGGCTGTCTTGAAGGGAAACTGCCTTGAACTTCCCCAGAAATGATTTCTGGGAAGCGGGGAGGCTGGTGCTTTCCAGTAACCGCTGCCCACTTCCTGCCTCAGGTACTTGCTGTACAACTTCCCGATGACCTGTGCCTTCATCGGCATCGCCAGCAACTTCACGTTCCTCAGCGTCATCGTGCTCTTCAGCTACATGCAGTGGGTGTGGGGGGGCATCTGGCCCCACCACCGCTTGTCTCTGCAGGTCACAAAGGACCTCCTCTCCCCCCCCCCGCCCCCCAACTTCATGATCCTTCTTTAACTGAGGGGCGGGCTGGGGCGTGTCATGGGGCTTGGGCGTTAGGGCCCAGATCACTGCATGGGAAGCACACCCTTGCTGCTCACTAATTTCTCCTCCACAGGTAAACGTCCGGAAAAGAGACCGTTCCCGGAAGGCAGTGCAGCGAAGAATCTCTGCCCACCCTCCAGGTGGGCATGACGGTTGGGGAGCTGGGTGAGAGGGGACTCCTGTGTTATCCAGTGTGAAGCTTTAGGCCCTCCACAGCTGGGCTGAGGGTCAGAGGACAGGCTGGAGGAGGCGTCGCCTGGGTGCAGCCACCCTAGCCCTCCCCTGCCCTCTCCCCACTCTGGAGGCACAGGGCCCCAAGGCCAGGAGGAGTCAACGCAGCTGTCAGACATCACAGAGGACGTTGGTGAGAGCCCTGAAGACCCCCCAGGGCCAGGTATGGGTGCCGCAGCTCTCCCATCCTCCTTCCTAACACCTCCTCAGGTGTCCCCTTCAGCCTCTTCCGGTCTGACCTCTGCATTCCCCTTGTGGCTGCAGAGGGTCAGCTCTTGGAGGAGGAGAAACCCGATCAGCAGCCCTTGACTGGAGAGGAGGAGCTGGAGCCAGAGGCCAGTGATGGTGAGGGGCACTCGGCACAGGGGCCCAGGCGGAGTGGGGTGGCATGTGGGTAGGGGGGACATTATATTGGTTGGGGGAGAAGGGCCCCTGGTTGGTTAATTTCCGGTTTAACTTTGTTTCTCCCTCCCCTGGCCCAGGTTCAGGCTCTTGGGAAGATGCAGCTTTGCTGACGGAGGCCAACCTGCCTGCCCCTGCCCCTGCCCCTGCCTCTGCCTCTGCCCCTGCCCCTGCCCCGGAGACTCTGGGCAGCTCTGAACCCTCTGTGGGCAGTCTCCGACAGCGGCCCACCTGCTCTAGTTCCTGAAGAGAACGAGGCAGAGTCCCCACATTCCAGCCCTTTCCCACCTGACTCCCTTCCCTTTCCTGTGTCTTCCCCCAATAAACTATTTTCATGCCAGCTGCTTCTCTGACTCCTTGAAATGGATTCAAGGCCATTGGAAATGCTGTGTTCCCCAGGCATCCTCCTTGCCACCCCGAATTGGAGGAGGTTGTCTTGTTGGGGGCTGCCGGTGGGAAAGGCCTCCAGACCCTGGACTGTTTTGGGTACAGCTGTTCCCGTTCACAAACCTAGGAAGTCCAAGGAGAGAAAACCTATCCTGCCCACTCCATCCACGTGATTCTTTCATCTCCCTCTGGGGAGGGGGATCATGTAGGGCGGGTCTGGAGAGCTGGGCTACATCATTCTGGCCTGTGCACCCCTCCCTTTCTCCGTCCATTGGGAGGCAGAAGACAGGAAATGACTGCCATGGATGTGGTATGATTTTTACCGAAACAGCATTTTGTAGCCCAGGCCCCATGCTGCCCACAGCTGTTTTCCTCTCTGATTCCAGCCAGGTGGCCCTCTGTTTCATGCTCCCCTCCTCACCCCTCCACATAACTTCAGCCTTTTGATTCTCGGCTCCTGGCTGCTTTCCACATTCCAATCCCCTTTCAGAACCCAGGCATCCCGGCCTCCAGATGAAACAGCTGCATGTGGCTCCCCCCCCCCACCCCCTTCCCTGGCCCCGTGACTCAGGCCCTCTGAAGGGACCAGCCCGCTTCTTGGCATTCACGGGGATGGGGGGGGGGGGCGGGGGAGGGGGGCTACGCGGTGACATCATAGTTGAAGGGTATAAAAGCTTCGAGCCAAAAGAGAATTGAAATTGAAGAGAAGACACTGACAAAACCTGACTGCGCAGCCTGTGCGCCTGGGGGCTCAGCCTCAGACCCGAAGACATCTGCTTGAAGATTTGAGCTGCCGCAAGACCCACCCACCGGTGAGGGGCTGCTGGGGGCCAGGGAAGAGTGGTGGGAGGTGGGGGGGGGGGGAGCAGGCAGGGACTGGAACTCCCTTGACAGGTGGAGAGGGTTCCAAGGTCCTTGGTTTCCCCTTCTGTTCCCTCTCCTCTCTCATTTCGGTCTCCTTTTGGGTTTTTGTGTCTGTCTCCCACCGATGATTGTTTTACTCAGATCTTTTCTCTGGGTGGCAGCTGGGAAATATTCCACCTTTCTTCCCCAGGCTGAATAAATCATTTCCTCTTCTTTTCCCCTCCAGCACTTTGCTTATTCATTAACTGTTTCTGGTACTTCACACATGGCTGGTCACACACCCATGTGTCAGACTACGTTTGGGTTTTTTTTTGTTTTTTTGTGTTTTTTTGCCCAAAACCAAGTACATATCGCCTGTTCAGAAGTTGGTTGACAAATTAAGAGTGTCAGTCTCCTTTCCTCCTCTCTCTTGGTCTCCTCCGGGCCCCCAGCTGTGTTCCCCGTCCCCGGAGATTTTGTTGAGGGAAGGGCCCTAGAAGGCATGGCGTCTGGGCGCCTGTTGGCTTAGACCTTGACCTATCCACCTCCTTCCCTTGCAGGCCCCATGCTGGGCTCTCCCTGTCTTCTGTGGCTCCTGGCTGTCACCTTCTCCTTGGTTCCCGGAACGCAGTCCTTGGCCCCTCAAGACCTTAAGGAAGAGGACAAAGATGAGACACCCCGGCCACGGCCTCCTTTGCGGGCCATCCCCTGTGACTATGACCATTGCCGTCACCTGCAGGTGCCGTGCAAGGAGCTGCAGAGGGCTGGACCCAGGGCCTGCCTGTGCCCTGGGCTCTCCAGCCCCACGCAGCCGCCTGACCCTCCGCGCCTGGGAGAGGTGCACGTGGTGGCGGAGGATGGCAGCGCAGTGGTGCACTGGTGCGCCCCCTTCTCTCCGGTCCACCAATACTGGCTGCTGCTATGGGAGGGCAACGAGGCTCCCCAGAAGGGTCCCCCCCTCAACTCTACTGTCCGCAGAGCAGAAGTGAAGGGCCTGAAGTCCGGGGGCGCTTACGTCGTTTGCGTGGTGGCTGCAAATGGGGCTGGAGAAAGCAGCGTGCCGCAGGCAGCGGGGGAGGGCCTCGAGGAGGTGGGTGGCCCTCCCTTCGGGCCCTGCAGGAGGCTGGTCGTGCCCCCCAGACCGCTTACCCTGGTCCACGTGGCTATCGGGGTGGGCACAGTGCTGGCCCTGCTGAGCTGCTCTGCTCTGGTCTGGCATTTCTGCCTGCGAGAGCGCTGGGGCTGCCCCCGCCGCCGGGTGGCCTCCCGACCCACAGCAGGGCTCTGAAGAAGCCTGGGGGCCTCTCAGGCCCAGCGGAGCCCAGGCTTAGGGAGCAGAGCTCGGCCTGGACTCCCTGGGAGGAAGCGGTTCCCACTGCTGCCCTGAGCAGCCTGGACAGCAGAGTCGGGGTGGCCAGGCATTTGGGCCCTAGCTGAGTCTCAGTGCTCAACCTAAGAGCTTGTTCAGGTCCCAGACTTTCCGTCCTGCTCCAGGCCGAGGTTTGGAACGGAGCAGAAGGCATTGGGAACTTTTTACTTAAAGGACCAGATAGTAAATGATTTAGGCTTTGCAGGTCCAGAGGACCAAAGCAAAGGTATTGCATAGGTACTTCCTCAGCCGTGCGACAGTGTAAAAATGGAGAAACCATTCTTAGCTCGTGGGTCTGAGGAATCAGGCCCCAGCCACATTAGACCTGTTGACTGTAGTTAGCCGATCGCAACCCCTGTCATACACCCTCAAAAGGGCTCTGGCGCATTGGTGGCCTCAATGGGATTTTGAGAACAAGCTGCTGCAGGATGGGAGTTTGGGGCAAGGCTATTCCCGCTGTTGCCTTTTGTTTAGATATCAAAGATGGGCACACCGGGGTCAGAATTCACCTGTGTCTGAAGTGGGTGAAAATGAATGGCTGACACGGGATGGAAAGAGGGACCTGCCTGAGCTGTTGTCTGGGACCCCCAAATCCAAGGGATGTCCCCCACTTCCCCTCAATTTGTGTTTATTGCACATCCACTGTACCAACATTAAAGGATATGTTAAAGGAAGACATTTGCATTTTTCATGATCCTTTTCATTTCCCTGTCCACACACCTATTTTTCAGCGTCGTGTGTCCTTTTTCCCCCCAGAGTAGTGTGTATTTTCGAATTTCTCTTTCACTTAACTGGATATAGAAAAGTCTGGGATGGCTACAGAGTATAATCCTCGTTTTTGCTGGTCTTATAACTTTTAATTATAGAAATAACATTTCTACGAGTTTCAAGCACTACTGAAGAATATAAAGGAAAGTTCCCCTTTTTCTCGGGAGGTAATCTCCCCCTAGCAGAGCAGTGCTTTGTTCAGTGCAAATGTTTTCTTTATTCACTAAAGGGATGACGGATAATGTTCCACAATGTTCCATGATTTGTGGCAAATTGTAACCTTCTTAGTTATGTCAAAGGCTGCATAACTTTCCATAGGACGATGCTCCTTAACTGACAGAAGTTGTCGCCCTTTAATGGAACATTTGTCTTCAGTGTTTGTTGTCATGTCTCTGTGTATCCTCACATGTTTGTATTTCTATAGGGTACTGACCTGGAAGTAGATGAAAGAACACAGTCCTATATAATTATGGATTTAAAAAAAATTACTGGACCTCTAGGATAAATTTAGAATACATTTGTTATCTATAATGCACTTGCCACACTGTAGTGAATACTTTGTCCCTTTTTTAATTTGCTTCCTGTATTTCCTCAGCATTTATTCATTTACAAATAACGAGGACCCACTCTCTCCTTATTCAGGACGTGCTTTGCAAGCATTCTTACTTACTCTTCACCGCAATTATTACAAAAGACAGTGTCCCCTTTGAGAAGATGAGAAATTTGAGGTTCTAAACGGTTTGAGGCTACAAGTAAGGGGTTAGGATGCCCAGCTCCAAAGCCGATGTTCCCTCCACTATGGAGAGGCAACAGCATAGTGGTGTAGTGAATGCATACTACATGGGTTTGGATCCTAGCTTAGCCATTTACCAGCTTTGTGACATTTTTCTGTGTGTGTTTCCTGTGACTAGTAGTAGTATAATCATATAGATTGTTGTGATGATTAAATATACATTAATTCTATAAAAGTCCAGGGCATATACTATCAATGTTAGTAACTTAGTATGACTCTGCCTCCTTATAAACATTCAAAGTGAGTTTACTTTCAACATTTATTTATTTTTGGGACAGAGAGAGACAGAGCACGAATGGGGGAGGGGCAGAGAGAGAGGGAGACACAGAATCGGAAGCAGGCTCTAGGCTCTGAGCCATCAGCCCAGAGCCTGACGCGGGGCTCGAACTCACGGAACGCGAGATCGTGACCTGGCTGAAGTCGGACGCTTAACCGACTGCGCCACCCAGGTACCCCCAAAGTGAGTTTACTTTAAGGGATCTAACAGCCTGGGCCTAGGGGTGTAGGGCTAAGTAATCAACGAGGACTACACAGGGGAATAAATGCTTAAGGGGGTAAATACTGGAGCTGGGAGGTGGATGGGGGTTGCTCAAAGCAGGATTCCCTTAGAAAGCAAACCTGGGGTCCAGTCTGAAAATTGGAATTAACCAGTCCCACCAAAGAGGCAGGACATCCCAGGCGGAGGGACTCGTAGGTGCAGGCGCCTGGAAAAGCAAGACGGCCTGTTTTGCAATCTGCACAAATTACCAGCAAGTGGTGGGAGATGACGCTGCGCACTACCAACATTTACACAGCGCACTCCTGCCAGGTACCTAAGGGAAGGGCTTATTGTTGTTATTCTCACTTTACAGAGGCCTCTAAACAAACAACAACAAGAACAAAAAACGGAGGAAGCCAGACTACTAAGCACTTGTTTCGTTCTAAGTGACTGGAGTGTCATGGAGAATATTTAAGCAGGGAGGTGATGACAGGATCACGGAGTTATGTTTTGCAAAAGATCCCTCTGGCAGGCGAGCGGAGGATGGCTCAATTCCCCGGAGAGGATGAGTGGGTCAAAGAGTAGGAACATGTCTATGGCTCCCGATCAACAAGCCAAGTAACTTTCCAATTGGTTGCGCTCAGAGCTTGCCTCATTCCGCCCTTGGGTTTCAAAGCCGCACCACCCTTCTTCCCCGCCGCTGCCGGCGTCCCAGTCTGGGGGTGAGGGGGTGTCGCCTCCGCCGTCAGCGTCCTCGGATGCGCCGCCCCTCCCCGCCCTCACGGGGCCCGGGCAGCCAGGCCGGGCCTGTGTTTTCTGGCTCTCGGCGGCACCCGTCCACGTCCGCCCCCACGTGACCCAAACAGATCCGGGCACTTCCGCTTCCCCTCGGCTTTCTTCTCGTCAGTGTCCGCGGCGGGTCTAGAGCCCGGTAAGTAAGAGAACGCCCGGCTGGGACGTCGGGGGGCGGCACCGTGCGGCGGCTCGGGGGCGCCCCAGCGCTGACCTTCCTGCGCCCTCCTTCTCGCCCTCCTCCAGGTCCCCGCGGAAGCGGCGGTGGTGGCGCCATGGCGGAGCTGACGGCTCTGGAGAGTCTCATCGAGATGGGCTTCCCTAGGGGACGCGCGTAAGGGAGCCCCCTAACCCTGGCCCGCGGGGATCGCGGACCTGTCTGCGCCTTTCCCCCAGCCTGGTCTCAGGCTCCACGCCCCAGCCTGACCCGCACCATGGCTCGCGGGCGCTATTCACGGTGTTTCTGCCCCCAGGGAGAAGGCTCTGGCCCTCACGGGGAACCAGGGCATCGAGGCTGCAATGGACTGGTGAGCGCTCAGACCGGGTGGCAGGGGACTGGGGACTGCTGGAAGAGGCAGCCTCATTGTTAACGTCCCTCCCGACTTCCCCTGCCAGGTTGATGGAGCACGAAGACGACCCCGATGTAGACGAGCCTCTACCGACCCCCCTTGGACACGTCCTGGGACGGGAACCCACCTCCTCGGAGCCAGGCGGCCCTGAAGGTCCTGACTGAGGGACACAGTGTGATTATTCACGAGAGCTCGAGGAGCATGAACGGCCAGTAACACTGATTGCTTGTTTGTAGGAACCAGCTCTAACGCCGGAGAAGGCAAACCCGTTTTGAGTGAAGAGGAGAGACAGGAACAGACTAAAAGGTATAGTCACCAACAAGGTCACATTTCTGAGGGTCACCTTCCACTTTTCCATGATGCACAAGTCTGATCAAAGAACCTGGAACTTTCTGTGTTCCCTCCGTCCTTCCTTGGAGGCTTCCTCTTTGTTTCTCTCACCTCTTTTGGGACGCGTGTTCCCTGATTTCATTTTGAATCCGTTATGAACTCGCCTTCCCAATCTGTGTCCATTTCTCTTGAGCTCTTTCCTTTCTGCCACACAGGATGTTGGAGCTGGTGGCCCAGAAGCAGCGGGAGCGGGAAGAAAGAGAGGAGCGAGAGGCATTAGAACGGGAACGGCAGCGCAGGAAACAAGGGCAAGAGTTATCAGCTGCCCGACAGCGGCTACAGGAAGATGAGATGCGCCGGGCTGCTGAAGAGCGGAGGAGGGAAAAGGCTGAAGAGTTAGCAGCCAGGTCTGGGTGATGGGGATACCGGATACGAGAGGAGAAAGGAATCTAGATTTGCTTTGTCAGTGTCCGACCTACTTTCTTCTTGTCTGCATTCCAGACAACGAGTCCGAGAAAAGATTGAAAGAGACAAAGCAGAGAGAGCCAAGAAGGTAGGTGATTGGGGAGACACTGGGGTCATGAAGTAGGTAGGCTAGTAGAAACCCCTTTCTAGCTTCGGAGGAAAAGGATGGGCGTAGTGTGTTTCTCTTAAGAGTGGGTGAGCCTGATCAGTGTTTTCCTTTGTCCTCCAGTATGGTGGTAGCGTGGGTTCTCGGCCGTCACCACCAACAGAGCCAGGCCCTGTTCCCTCCTCTCCCAGCCAGGAGCCTCCCACCAAGCGGGAATATGACCAGTGTCGCATACAGGTACTGATTCTAATTCCTGTCTTGCTTCTGGGACCCCTTTGTCTACCTGGCTCAGAGCTTTTTTCAGTTATGTTCCCTTTGCCAAACCTCTCCCTTCTTTGTAAGTGACTTTTGAAATCCTACCTCCTCTCCTCTTAGGAAAGATATCGCATTTCACTTGCTCCAGTCTTATTTAAATCCATACTTCCCTCTTACTCAGCAATTACCTTTTTAGTTGATCGTGTTTTCATTTCGTTTATTACACAGCAACTTGCATGACGTGGTGTTTATCTAGAGGTTTTTGGATGATCTTGTCTTTGTTAAAATGTGAGGAAGCTGGGAGCCTCTCTTCAGTGCTTAGTAAACCACAGCATAAGTGGTTCTTCATGAGGTGCTTTGAAGAGTAATTACGCCAGTCCAGTCTAACAGGAAGCAGGAGCCAACTTTGCAACTCTTCTTTTCCTTACTTGAGCACCTCACTCAGTTCTGACGCTCACAATACTGTGTTTCACGCTTGCCCTCTAGGTCAGGCTGCCCGATGGGACCTCACTGACCCAGACGTTCCGGGCACGGGAACAGCTGGCAGCCGTGAGGCTCTATGTGGAGCTCCACCGTGGAGAAGAGCCTGGAGGGGACCAGGACCCCGTGCAGTTGCTCAGTGGCTTCCCCCGGCGGGCCTTCTCAGAGGCTGACATGGAACGGCCTCTGCAGGAGCTGGGTATGACACGTGCGATCAGAAACAGGACTTGGGGGAGGGGAGGGGATGCCTGAGAAAGGAAGGAATGCCAGGGGAAGAGACTTTGTGGAGATGGTATGAAGCCAGAAATTTTGGGGGGCAAAGAGCAAGGATCTTTGAGGTCAAAGCTGTTTTCTCCCATCTTTAGGACTTGTGCCTTCTGCTGTCCTCATTGTGGCCAAGAAATGTCCCAGCTGAGAGGCCTTTATCCCACTATCCCTCTCTGACATCTTCATGTTTGATAGAGCACTGACATCTCCTTCCTAATAAATAGACCCTCTGAGTTCTGTATGTGCCTGACTCCTTCCTGAGTGGCTGGGAGGGACAAAACTGAGGCAGAGGGAGAAGTTACAGGGAAGGCATTTAAAACAGACCTTATTTTTCATCTTCAGTTTCCATACAGAAACTTGATTACAATCTCTGGATCTTTCTTTTTGGGAAGTTAAGAGAAGTGTTGGGGGTAGAATACGACGAGCAGCACAATTTGCTCCTATGGGTAAGGTAGTGCATAAGCCTGAGATCCTTACTTGTGTGCCTGCTTCTTTTTTTTTTTTTTTTTTTTGCCCCCCCCCCCCAAGCCCTTGACTTCTTGAAGCCAGCCTAGTTGCTTCCTGTAAAATAAGGATGATAGTACCTGTTAATTCAGATTGTCATGGGTATTACATAACGCTGATACAGGCGCTTTAGTGTAGTTCCCTGGCACTTAATAAGTTCCCAGTAAGTATTAGCTATTAAAGAGTAATTTTGGGGGCACCTGGGTGGCTCAGTCAGTTAAGCGTCTGACTTCAGCTCAGGTCATGATCTCACGGTTCATGGGTTCAGGCCCCACATCAGGCTCTGTGCAGACAGCATGGAACCTGCTTGGGATTCTCTCTCCCTCTCTGCATCTCCTCAACTCGTGCTTGCTCGCTCTCTTCTCAAAATAAATATATGTGTTAACAGAGATACGAAGGCAGTTATCTGGGGTTGGTACAGTTATGCCATCTTTATTTGTATAAAAGTTTTTATTTAATCTCTACACCCAGTGTGAGGCTTGAACTCACAACCCTGAGACTGAATGTCGTGGTCTCTTTCTGCCTACCAAGCCTGCCAGGTGCCCCCAATTATCCCATTTTAGAGACTGGGACACCAAAGCATGTGACTTACGGAAACCAGCCCACCTGAGGAGCTTGACTGTAGGGCTCAGGCTCTGAACCTCCCAAGTTCCTTCATCATAGCCTCTCACTGCTGTTCTCATCCTTGTACTCCCTGAAACAGCTGCTGACCTTTTCCCTCTCATTCCCCTGCTGGAAAGAGGCCACAGTTAACCAAAGATCACACATAACAACTGCATTTGGCTTAGGACTTCATCCATCGGGTGAAAACAGCACCAGTGCACCATCTGGGTTTACACCTCAGTGTTAACCAAGCTTTATTTATTGTCCTGGCTTTATTTGAATAAAAGCAGGGGTACCTGGGTGGCTCAGTCTGTTGAGCATCCCACTCTTGATTTCAGCTCAGCTCATGATCCCGGGTTCTTGGGCTTGAAACCTGTGTGGGGCTCCATGCTGAGCGTAGAAGCTGCTTACGATTCTCTCTCTCTCTTGAGGAAGCCTGGGTGACTCAGTTGGTTAAGTGTCTGACTTCGGCTCAGGTCATGATCTCGCAGTTCGTGGGTTTGATCCCTGCATTGGGCTCTGTGCCGTCAGCTCGGAGCCTGGAGCCTGCTTTGGATTCTGTGTCTCCCTCTCTCTGCCTTTCCCCCGCCTGCACTCCGTATCTCTCTCTCTCAAAAATAAATAACACACTCTCATAAATAAAAAATAAAAGTAAGCTTTCCCCCCTCCCCTTCAATTGCTATCTTCTTTGGAACCACCGGATGTGAGGCACACCACAGGGAAATTATCTCGCTCCTTCAGAGATTCCCAAGAAATCCCATGACTGGATTCGGGGATTACAGACTACTACAGTGAAAACCTGGAAGGGGAAAAGCCCCACTACCTATATCAAAGGCTGCTCTGTGCCAAGCACTGCACTTTACATTTCTAAGTTAATTTTTCCCCAACAACCCTCAAGATAATTACCACCTTTTATGTAACAGGACTGAGGCTCCAAGAGGTTTTGTAACATGCAGGACTTTTCATCAAGATCTGTCTTACTGAACGCATGCTCCTTTCACTCCTAGCAGATTGACCTCCAAAGGTTCAATAGCCCCAGAAAGCATCATAGCGTATGTTAAATGCTAGAAGCCCCTCTCCAACCTCACAGGACAGGAAACCCAAAGTGTCCTCCATGGGCACCAATTGCTACAGGATTTTCCAGCATTAGTTCTGATTTCGAGAATGTCACTTGGTTATCAAAAGTACACTTGAACAACCACATGACATTGTGTTTTGGTCGCTGCGGGGCACATGGGAGCCACAGTCATCCGCTTCCCCAGCACGGGCCCCCCAGAACACTCTAGACATTCAGAGGCGCCAGACTGCAGGGCTCACAGACTGGACGGAGGAACGTGATTTATTGGTTCTTTCGGGTTCACCATATCCGACGCCCCCGCCCGCGACGTAGGATGTTAAAGTGCAGTCAGTGCATCTTTTGATAGGGGACGTGCTCACCCTGCAACGGCTCCCAGGGCCTCAGGGAGGTCTGGGCGCGGCATCCTCAATCGGGTCTCCCCGCTGGGCGTACGGAGGAGAAAGGCTGCCTCCGACTCTTGCGCAGGAGCAAGGTCCCAGTGCCCACGATGGAAGTCCCAGCTCACGCTGACTTCCCGCCGCCGCCGCCCATCCAGTTCTTCCTCCAGGCCACGTTCTCTTGCGTGGCCGCTGCCTCCTGCAGAGTGGCTAGCACTAACTCTTTGGTCCTGACCGCCTCCTCCCTGCGCCGCGGGTCTTGCTCGGGCATCTCCTGCGGGCGGGAAGGGAGGTTCGCAGTCTTGACCCCCACCCAGCCCGGGGGCTCTCCGCCCGCCCACCCCACGTCGGACTTCCAGTCGCCCCCACCTTCAGCATCTCCTGCTTCCGCTGCTCTCCCGGAGCCACGAGGACAAAGAGCGCGGAGCCCACGCCAGCCCCGGCGCCCAGAAGGGCACCCACGATCAGCGCTTTGCGCAAGGTCTCCATGGCCGACCGCGCGACCAGAGAGGCGCTCTCCGAGGCCTCCCGCAGCCTAGAAGGCGAGCCACGACGTCTCACTGCTCCCCGCGCAGGCTAGAGCGGCCCACGGAGAAAACCATAGAGATGGGGCCGGGCTAGAGGGCCTGATCGGCGAAACCTTCGAATCTAGAGCACCTGGGTCTTAAAAGATTGGTTTTAACTGGGAAGCTTGAGCGCGTCCAAAAGCGTTGGACTTGAGGGCCGTGCACCGGACCCATTGCCATGAAGTTCAGGGTGGGATTGCTAAAGGGAGCGTGCGTGTCGGAGTGCGTGTCTTCATGGTTGCTGTGGGTTTTACGGCTGCCCAGTTCCGAAATTTCCTAGTCGATACAGGGCTAGGGCTGTGTTCTGTAGTTTCCTACAATAACTTGTGGTTTTTCAGTACAGCACATACCGGACATCCAGATACTTACATCAGTCTATCGATCCATTCCAAATCTCAACTTCTGAACAAAAACTCAAAGCCAAATGTACTGGGTGGGGGGAAAGGTATACATATGTTATTATTTTTCTTTATTTTACTTGTTAAGTTAACGTATTGAAAGTAAATTTGTTTTGTTTTGTTTTGTTTTGTTTTGTTTTCATCATGGGAAACCCTTGGCTCCCCCACCCCACCCCTGGCATGAAAACTCTGGGTTTGGAGTAACATACCGAGTTCTAGTTTGGAGAAGAAAGCACCTTTTAGTTGTGTGACTCTGGGCAAATCATTTAAGTTCTTTGTGCCTCGGCTTCTGCATCAGAAAATAGGGCTAATGACCGTATCTTTCTCATAGTTTTAGGATAATTAAATGAGTTGATATATAAAGCATTTAAAAACAGTTACTGGTAAACAGTAAACACCCTATAAATATTCATTAAGACACAAAGAAACATGTCAAATTGGGAGACCCAGTGAGCAAAGGAATCAGGAAATTCCAAGTTTGTTTGCAAAGCTCTTCACTCCCAGGGCTTTAATCCAGATGCCCTTGTTGACTCCTACCCTCCTGCCTTTCCCAGTGACACCGGGGAGTGAGACATAAAGCTCCTATCCCATCTCTTGGGATTTTCCCCTCCCCTGGAAGGCCCATAATCTCCTAGCTTGTCATTCTCTTCTCAGAAGTGATTAGGGGCCAGGCTCCAAGGATTAAAGGAGCAGTCTGTGGAGTGTCTGAGTAGGGGTACTCCACTTTGAGTTCAACCACTCTGCCCTCTAAGAATTAGAACCCATGGCCCTTGTGCCAGGGAGCAGCGAGGATGGGCCTTGGCCTAGAGATAGCCCAGGCTCCTCCCAGCACCCAGAAAGTCCTAGGCTGACCAGCCCCCTGTGGATGGACAGAGGAGAAATTGGCAGGGTTGAAGGTCACCAGGATGTTCAGGTTAGTACTCCCCTACCCTGTGTCTTGCGGCTGACTCATCTTCCAGTTTGGTCCAAGCACCCTGCTTATCCTGATTCAGGTGGTCTCTCAAAAGACTCGCCTGCCCTCCATTGTGGTGGAAGCTTCTGAGGGGAGTGAAGAGAGCGGGGAGCTGGGTTGGCCACAAGAGGAGCTGCTGCTGCCCACTGATGAGGAAGAGGAGGCCGAGGTCTTCTTTCAGGACCAAAGTGAAGAGGCAGGTGAGGAAGGCAGCTGCTTCAGTGGGGCCGTTGTGACCTGACCTGGATATTCTTCTGGGCAGGGCCCAGATGGAAAACTCAGTTGTGTCCCCTGCATTAAGCAGTACCAGGCACACAGTAGGTGCTTAGTTCATGTAGTGAAGAATAACATAGAGGTGGAGAGAAAAGTCAAAGTGTTTGGCAAAGTTGAACGTTAGAGGGAAGTTGTAATGTCAGATGGGTGATGCCTTTTAATTATTTTTAAAATATACTATTTTAAAATACATTGTTTTTAAAATATTCTAAAACAATGTTTTAAATGTTTTAAAATATTTACGTCATTTGTTGTGTGTGTGTGGGGAATGTAATAAAATTATCCCAAATCGACTACCCAGAGAGAAGTTACATTTCGGATGCCTTTTCTTCCAGCTTATTTATTAGGACTTACAGTGTGCCAGGCACTGTGCTAAACACTTTTATCTCATGATTTTCAGAACTCAGTGGGGGAGACCCTTTTATCCTCATGAGAAAACTGAGGCCATGAAATTAGGCTCTTAATTACAATTGCTGTATTACTTTTTTATAAGCAAAAGAAAAAAACATCAAACTAATTTGCTTCATCTTTCAAAAAGTCAGTAATGTATCAGGAATACTTTTCACTTTTTTTAATTAATGTTTATTTTTTAGAGAGAGACAGAGCGTGAGCATGGGAGGGGCAGAGAGGGAGACACAATCTGAAGCAGGATCTGGGCTCTGAGCTGTCAGCACAGAGCTGAAGTGAGGGTCAAACTCTAGGACCTGATATCATGACCTGAGGCGAAGTAGGACACTTAACCGACTAAGCCACCCAAACGCCCCCAGGAATACTTTTCACTTTGAATGGTCTCTTCAACTCTCCTCTCCCCCAGGCTGGACTTGGAGCCCACTGGACCCCAGATCTCCCTTAAGAACCTTTAACCCAGCACTCAGCTGGGGACAGGAACAGGTAGAACAAGAGGTCTCCTGGATTCCTGAGGACACAGAGTATCAGGAAGCCTCCAACCCCTGTCCTCTCTGGAACCCAGCAACAGGCTCCCATGTGTGTAGAAGCTGCTTTGTGGAATATTCACACCTCCTGCCTCCCAGGAGCTTTGAGGGTAAGTATCTGTTCTCTCTCCTTCAACATTTCAGTGAAGTTTGTTAGGAGGCCCTTCTGGCTGTCCTATCAATCTTCCCCTTTTCACAGGTTGAGGACACTGAGGCTTGGAGGTTGGGCCACTGGCTCACATCAGTCAGTCAGTGCTGGGATTTGGATTAAGAACTCCTCTCTTTAAACAAAAAACCCCCAGAAACTCTATCTGTGCCCGTAGGTATTCCAGTTAGTAGGGGTTAGAAGCCTTCTCTAGTTAGCACCCATCTTGTGCCTGGCATTGCTAAGTGCTAAATGTTTCACCTGACATTGTATGTAATCCCAACTCCACCTATTATTCCTACCTTGCCGAGGTGTAAACTGGGGCATGGAGACATTCAAAAACATGTGCACGCGGCTAGAAAATATGGAGGCCAGCCCTAAGATCCTAACTTCCCACCCATCATACAAAGAAGAAAAAAATTCTCTTCACCTCTTTCCTCACCCAACAGAAAAATTAGTTAGAACTAAAGTCTTTAATGAGAGACTTGAACCAAGTAAGCAAAGTAGGGGATGCCCCTGAAAGGGCCTAGCTCCTGCACAGTCACAGTCCAGCCTTGGGACCCTTGCTCCAGGCAGGGTAGCCGCACATCAGGGTCCTCATCGGAGAACTGAATCAGGGTCCCCTGGGGGCTTAGGACCCTTAGGCATTCTGACAGAAGCTGGTAAGCCCCAGGCAGACCACCCCGGGCAACAGCATCCCAGGTGCCCTTATCCAGCACTAGCTGGAAGGAGCCTGAGGGAGCCACGGGCTCCAGGTCCTGGGCATCAGCCTGTATGAACTGTAGTCGAGAGGCAGGGTGCCCAGGGTACAGGGGTATTTGGTCTTGGCCACCTTCCAGGAGGCTGTTCATGTGGGCCACGGCCACAGGAGAGAAGTCCACCCCCAGCACATCCACGGGAATTGGACACTTGGTGTAGAGACCTGTACATAGGCTGGAAGTCCCACAGCCCACGTCCAACACCCGCAGTGGATAGGCAGCCCGTGCCTCCTGCAGCAGCGGCAGTAGGAGCCCCTGGGCTTCCTCATACCCAAAGAACCAGTCAAACGTGGGGACGCTGCCAACTCGGGGACCGCTGTGGAGCTTATCCCAGAGGCGACGGTGGGCCAGGCAGTTACCAGCCAGGGAGCCTGTGGACACGAGTGGGGCACATGTGTCACCCAGCGCCCAAGTTTCATCAGATTGCTGCAAAAAAACCAAAAAACAAAACAAACAAACAAAAAAAAAACCGGTGCAATATACCCTGGGGTTTGAAGAATCACAATTTCAGGGATTAGGGTCACTAAGAATCCGCCTTGCCCTCCCACTCTGCCTACCTTCCCTACCCAACAAAGCTCGGCGCGCCCCAGCCGCCAGGGTCGCCACGTGGAGAGTTGCTCGCAGCGCGGCCATCTGGAGATCCCGGCAAGGTCGGCCTTCTGCGAAATGTCGCCCGCACTCCCGAAGGAGCCTGAGGTCCAAGAGAAAGGTTGCAAATTCCGCTTTGTGGGATAACGCGAACAGCCTAATGACAACCATGGAAAAAACGCGGACACACACTTACTACGGCAGGAAAGGCCTTTATTGTTGGCAACGGTAAATTAAAAGAGGAGGGGGACACGACAGCTCCGGTTCCAGGGGCGGCTCCCCAAACCTGAAATAAAAGGAGAAGTCGTGAGCACCCCAAGGAGGAGCCTGCAGAACCTCGGTTCCGCTGGGCTCCTTGGAGCCGGTGTCCCGGCGGTTGAGGATAGAACCCGCGGACCGGAAGCCGCGGGCACCGAAGACATGACGCCGAGGGGCCAGAGCCCTTTCCCTCTGCCTCCGTACATTACGGGGGCCGGGACCGTACACCCGGCCCCCGCCAAGAAAAGGAGGGTGCGCAGGCCCCGCCCAGAACCCCCGCCGGGCCTCGTAGCTCCGAAACCTACCTACGCACCTAATTTTTCGCCGTCCCGGGAGAGATCCAGGGCGCCGCCGAGCTGCTTTATATACCCTCAGTACCCGCCCCTGGGCTGCGATTGGCTCGCGGAGGCCGAGGGGCGGGGCCTACGCGGACACTGCGCAGAGCCAAAAAGCCGGCCGCGAACCACAGTCGTTGCGCAGCCATGGGGGCTCCCGGGGGAAAGATCAACCGGCCCCGAACGGTGATTGTGTGGGAGCCCCGACTTCGTTTCCCCACGCGTCTTGGAGCCCTCTAATCTCGCCAGAGATGAGATCTATGGGCCGGAGTCGCCGGGTGCGGGGTCCTGGGTCGCGGTGCGCGGCTTCCGTCTGATTAGCATCTTCCTCCCCTTCAGGAGCTGAAGAAGAAGCTGTTCAAGAGACGGCGGGTGTTGAACCGGGAGAGGCGACTGAAGCACCGGGTGGTGGGAGCTGTAATAGACGAAGGCCTGATCACGCGGCACCACCTCAAGAAGCGGGCGTGAGTGCCAGACTCTCTTCCCTTTGCCCCGCCCCCTCCCGCCCCGAGTCCCCTTTCTCCTCCGTGTCGATCTCCACAGCAGGTATCACCTCCGCTTTTCTTGTGCACTGACTTTATACAAGGCACGTTTGTTAGCTGTGTTTGTGCCTACACCCTGCTAGCGTGCGGACAACACTGGTAGCTCACAACCTCTTTGGGTCTTGGACCCGACTAAGAATCTAAGAACTGTCGACTCACCCACCTCCCCAGATAACATTGTACCTTTACATAAATTTTTATAAGTAAACTTAAATTTTTTTATTAAAATTTTTTTTTTACATTTTAAATTTATTTTTGAGAGACAGCATGAGCAGGGAAGGGGCAGAGAGAGAGACACACACAGAATCCGAAGCAGGCTCCAGGCTCTGAGCTGTCAGCACAGAGCCCGATGCGGGGCTCAAACCCACGAACCCTCAGATCATGACCTGAGCCCAAGTCGGAAGCTTAACCAACTGAGCCACCCAGCTGCCCCTAAATATTTTTATTTCTGAGAGAGAGAGTGTGAGTGGAGGAGAGGGGCAGAGGGAAAGAGAATCCCAAACAGGCTCCATGCTCAGCGCAGAGCTCCACACGGGGCTCCATCCCACGATCCTGGTATGGTGACCTGAGTCAAAACCAAGAGTCAGACACTCAACCAACTGGGTGTCAGAAATATTGACTGAGCCTCGTGGGGGCTTCCACCACGAAGTGAACCTGGCTGGCTCACTTGGTAGGGCGTGCCATTCTTGATCCTTGCAGTTCATGAGTTCAAGCCCCACATTGCGCATGGAGACTACTTAAAATAAAATCAAATCAAATTAAAAAGTATTGAAGATAGAAGGAAAAATAGTTTTCCCTTACAAATTCTTGCTATATACCAAGTTTTAACACTTAATGTTAAGTACTCTATATATATGTACGGGAGTAGTGTTAAGCATGTTAATGGCTAAATGTTGGAAAGATTTAACTCAGAGCCTAGATTTTCAAGGTTTTTCTACTTGAGTCCAAAGACCTTTTCTTTTCTTTTTTTTTAGTTTTTCATGTTGTATTTATTTTACAGAGAGAGAGTGGGGGAGGGGCAGAGAGCGAGGGAGACACAGAATCGGAAGCAGGCTCCAGGCTCTGAGCTGTCAGCACAGATCCCGACGTGGGGCTTGAACTCACCAACTGTGAGATCATGACCTGAGCCGAAGTCAGATGCTTACCCTGCTGAGCCACCCAGGCGCCCCAAAGGCGTTTTCAATAGCCAGAACCAGCCTGCAGTGGTTCTGATTAACCTGGACATCTTTGCTCTTACCAACGCTTCAGGTCCAGTGCACGTGCCAACATTACTCTCTCTGGGAAGAAGCGCAGAAAACTCCTCCAGCAGATCCGGCTGGCCCAGAAAGAGAAAGCAGCCATGGAAGGTGAGGCTGGGGCAAAGAGGTGAGGTGAGTGGGCAGCCTGGATTCACTGGGGGTCTTTCATGCTTCCTCTTTCCTTTTGCTCAGTGGAAGCCCCCACGAGGCAAGCCAGGACTAGTGAACTGCAGCCCAAACGGCAAAAGAAGACAAAAGCCCCCCAAGATGTAGACATGGAGGACCTTGAAGATAAGAGCTAAATCCCCACGCCTCCCACTGGAAGATTCTCAGCTGGAGCCAGGAGGACTCTGGTTATTTCGGAGGACTTTGGAGAAGGCATTGCCCCTTTTCACCCTTCTCAGATTCCTTTTCCTTCATGGCCTAGGGAGCTGCCCTGTAGGAATGCATCGAGAGGAAGAGAGTGGAGAAGGAAGATGGGAGACGGGGGTCCTTAACAGTCAGCTCAATTTGTAATAAAGCCCTAGACTTCTCACTGAGATGTGTGTGATTAAATGTAGGAATGGGCGGGGTCTGTGAGTGGGGAAACAAGACAGGAAATAGAACCCACGGAGCTTACTTGAGCAAAGGCAACGAGAAGCCAGCCTCTGTGCCTGGCTGGCTCAGTCAGTAGAACATGCGACTCTAGATCTCAGGTTGTGAGTATGAATCCCAATTGGGTGTAAAAAAAAAAAAAAAAAAAAAAAAAAAAAAAGTCAGAGGCACCTAGGTAGCTCAGTTGGTTAAGCATCTGACTTCAGCCCAGCTCACGATGTCACCTTTATGAGTTTGAGCCCCACATCGGGCTTTGTACTGACAGTGTGGAGCCTGCTTGGAATTCTCTCTCCCTCTCTCTGTCTCCATCACTCGTGCTTTCTCTCTCAAAATAAATAAGTAAACTTAAAAAAAAATCCACTGTTACTTAAAAAAATTTTGGAGGGGACACTTGGGTGGCTCAGTCGGTTAAGCATCTGACTCACAGTTTGTGAGTTCAAGCCCCGTGGGCTCTGTGCGGACATCTCGGAGCCTGGAGCTTGCTTCAGATTCCGTGTCTACCTCTCTTGGCCCCTCCCCTGTTCTCTCTCTCTCTCTCTCTCTCTCTCTCTCTGTCTCTCCCTCTCTCTCTCCCTCTCAAAAATAAATTAACATTAAAAAAAATTTGCTTGAAGTGAATAAAAAAATTCTTGTTTTAAAGTCAGTTCTACCCAGGGCTTGAACTCATGACCGTGAGATCAAGACTCGCACGCTCTACCGACTCAGCCAGCCAGTCGCCGAGGATTATATTTTTAATAAAGTGAAGACCGAGCATTATTTTTCCCATTTAACATTCAGAACTTCTGTTGGATGACAGGACTGGGGGTGTTTAATTAAAGTAAAAAGCTGCCTGTGTGGAGGTGTGTTAAACGGGGGTAAAACATCTCTCTGCCCTGTTTAATCTGTGTAAGCTTCTTTGGAAGAGGGAGGGTTTGGGTCCAGCGTTGCACCTCCTTTCTCCCTGCCACAGCCCATCCCACCTCACCCCTCTGCCAACTACATATTTTGAATTTCAAATTCAGTAAAGAATCTGTACAATGAAACTTTATAAATGCACTCTACTTAAATTTGCCAATTTTTAGCATTTTCCAACAGTTGTTTTATCTGTATGCACTTGCAAATATGTATGCATGTGTCTTTGTTGACTCATTGGAAAGTCAATTGCAGATGAGATTTTTACCCAGAGAACATTCCTTCTTTTTTTTTTTTTTTAAGGTTTTTTTTTTTTTGTTGTGTTATGTTGTGTTGTGTTAGCGTTGTGTTTTGTGGTTTTTTTGAGAGAGAACCAGCAGGGGAAGAAGCAGAGAGGAGAGAGAGAATCCCAAGCAGGCTTTGCACTGTCAGTAAGGACTCCCACTTGGGACTCAAACTCATCAACTGTGAGATCGTGACCTGAGAGGAAATCAAAATCAAGAATTGGCCGCTTAACTGACTGAGCCACCCAGGTGGCCCAGAACATTATTTTATATAGCGAAAATACTCTTATCACACCTAAGACATTTAACATTAGCTAATACTGACTTTTTCATATTTGAATTTCCTTAATTGTTCCAATAATATCCTTTGGTTGTTGTTGTTGTTGAGAGAGAGAGCATGAGCAGGGGAGAGGGGCAGAGGGAGAGAGAGAGAATCTAGGGCGCCACACTCAGTGGGGCCCAACAGAGCCCAATCCCACAACCCTGTGACTACAACCTGAGTGGAAATGAAGAGTGGGACCTCAGCCTACTGAGCCAACTAGGAGCCCCTCCAATAATATTTTTGTATATTTTATATATTTTTTAATTTTATATATTTTTAAATATTTTTTATTTTTATTTTTTATATTTTATAATATTTTTTTTTATTTTTTTTTCAACGTTTATTTATTTTGGGGACAGAGAGAGACAGAGCATGAACGGGGGAGGGGCAGAGAGAGAGGGAGACACAGAATCGGAAACAGGCTCCAGGCTCTGAGCCATCAGCCCAGAGCCCGACGCGGGGCTCGAACTCACGGAGTGCGAGATCGTGACCTGGCTGAAGTCGGACGCTTAACCGACTGCGCCACCCAGGCGCCCCTTTTATAATATTTTTTATAGCTGTTTTCCCCCTCAATCCAGGAGTTAATCAAGGATCATGTACTTCATTTAATTGTCCTATCTCTTTTGTCTCATTCAACAGTGTTTTTTCTTTTTTTTAAAAAAAAATTTTTTTTTTCAACATTTATTTATTTTTGGGACAGAGAGAGACAGAGCATGAACGGGGGAGGGGCAGAGAGAGAGGGAGACACAGAATCGGAAACAGGCTCCAGGCTCTGAGCCATCAGCCCAGAGCCCGATGCGGGGCTCGAACTCACGGACCGCGAGATGGTGACCTGGCTGAAGTCAGACGCTTAACCGACTGCGCCACCCAGGTGCCCCAACAGTGTTTTTTCTTAAATGTTTATTTTTGAGAGAGCGCAAGTGGGGGTGGGGCATAGAAAAGGGGACAGAGGATCAGAAGTAGGCTCTTCACTGACAGTAGCAAGCCCGATGTGGGGCTTGAACTCATGAACCACAAGATCGTGACCTGAGCAGAAGTTGGACGCTCAAACAATTGAGCCACCCGGGTTCCCCTCATTCCACAGCACTTCTACCTATTTTAGGTAACTTGACATTTTTGAAGAGCCCAGTGTAATTTTATTTATCTATTTAGGAATAATCCATTTCCCGTCGCTTACATCAATTTGTCTCACGATTAGTGCTTCTAAGTGTAGAAACTTGGTTAAGTGGATGTCTGTCAGATTTCTCCATTGTTAAAGTATACTTTCCCTTTGTAATTCATAAGTAACCTTTGGGGCTGCTACTTTGAGATTGCATGAATACCCTATTCCCCAAAATCCTTTCACCCCGTGATTTTAGCACCCATGATAATCTTTACCTAATAAGTTACTGCACAAAATGGTAATTTTCTAATTTTATCCTTCAGTCACTGATATTATTCATGTGATATATTCTGTAAAGAAAACCCCTTCCTCTATAAAAATATCACTATGGATTCGGATTGTTTCTCAGTGGGTCATAATCTATGACTATTGCTTTTACAGGCTTGAAGTCATGGCCAAAATTTGGCCAACAGGAGCCTTTTCAAGGTGGTCTCTGTGTCCTTTTGACTCAACACCATCAGTATTTGAGCACTTCCTTGTTTTCTGACATGATGATCTGTTCCAGTCTTACCTGCTGCTTCCCCTGGCCTATGACTGGGATCAGCCAATTTTCCAGGGAAACAGAATTATGTCCAGTTTTGAACACAGAGAGGAAAAGCGGTTGTTTGAAAATGTATTCAGATGCAGTAAAGAGAGGAGGGGAGGCAATAGGAAGGAGAAGGAAAGACATTTTTATTTATGTTTTTTTGAAGTAGGCTCTACATCCAATATGGGGTTTGAACTCATGACCCTGAGACTAAGTGTTACACACTCTACTGACTGAGCCAGCCAGGTGCCTCAGGAAAGACATTTTTAATATTTTGAGACAGAGAGAGAGAGAGAGAGAGAGAGAGAGAGAGAGCATGAGTGGGGGAAGGGCAGAGAGGGAGGGAGACACAGAATCTGAAACAGACTCCAGGCTCTGAGCTGACAGAGCTTCACGTGGGGCTCAAACTCGTGAACCACAAGATCATGACCTGAGCTGAAGTCGGACACTTAACTGATTGAGCCACTCAGGTGCCCCATCTTCTTTTTTTAATTAAAAAAAATATTTTAAATCTTTTTTTATTTTTGACAGAGAGAGTCAGAGTGTGGGTGGGGGGGGGGGGTCAGAGAGAGAGGGAGACACGGAATCTGAAGCATGCTCCAGGCTCTGAACTGTCAGCACAGAGCTGGAAGCAGGTCTTTAACTCAGGAGCTGTGAGACCATGACCTGAGCTGAAGTCAGACACTTAACTGGCTGAGCCACCCAGTCGCCCTTTAATAAGTGATCTTAAGTGATGTTTGCAAAAATCTGTCAGATAGGAGACATACGCATTTTACAGATAAGGAAATGGGCTTCAAACAGTTGGGTCAATTGCTCAGGGTTACACTGCTGATAAATTGCAGACATGAATCTAGATCTGTCCAACACCAAAACAGGCACCTTTGGATTATGAAATCCTTAAGAGCAAGGACCACATAATAGTCTTATTCCTGGAGAACTTACATGTTTCAAAAGTCCCCTTAAATTTTTTTTTTACATTTATTTATTTTTGAGAGACAGTGAGACAGGGTGCGAGCAGGGGAGGGGCAGAGAGAGAAGGAGACACAGAATCCGAAGCAGGCTCTAGGCTCTGAGCAAGCTGTCAGCACAACGCCCAAGGCAGGGCTTGAACCCACAAAGCGTGAGATCATGACCTGAGCCGATGTTGGATGCTCAATGGACTGAGCCACCCAGGCACCCCAAAAATCTCCTTTTACAGATCATAAGTTGAGGCTCTCAGATGGTAAGTATTGGGTCCCAGTTGTAGACAGTGTTAGGAGCAGAAATATTTATTGTTCTAGAACAGATCTTGCTAGTAGGTAGTATATGATGGGGAGAACAAAGGCAAAAGGAAAAAAAAATAAACTTCCTTACAACTTACAGCCTATTGACAAGCACTTGAGACAAGCAGAGTGGCCTTCCTCTGGAAGCTTAGCTGCCTCAATGTTAATATGTTGCAAGAGGCAAAAGACAACCTTAGCGTGACATTAGTGGGACCTCCAGGATCCTGTAATAAATTCCTCTGGAAACTGCCTTTATCTCTACCTGCCCAAGATACATGTTAGCAATCATTGCCTAAACATATGACCCACTGATACACATTTAAGGGGGCTCACACTAAGAGTTTACTAGGTTGTAGTAAATGATCTTTTTCTAACAACAGCTAGCCCTTCAAGATCCTAGAAACCTCTCTTCCAAATTCCTTAGAGACCTAATGCTCTTCCTAACCCCCTCCCCAACCTGAAAGTTTATAATCAGCGCCTCCGTACAAACCAATAGCA